TATTTTCTTGAAACTGCGTGCGGGGGGCGGAAAAATGTTTAAAAATCCCGGGATTTTTCAAGAGAATAAGTAGTTATTTAAAATGCACTTGACACTTTTTCATTGTCTCCTCCGCATGCGGTTTACACCGTATGCGCTCTACGTTCTTGCTTACAGCTATAATTGGTTGAATCCGGATAGTACGAGATGCATCAGGGGGCGGGTTTATTTTCTACGGAACTATCATTAGAAGTGCACGAGGCCATCTGATATGGAATCTACGAAACGAAGCTTTCGGGTGATTGCTGCGTATGATGCAAAGGGGAATGATGCCCTTGCTCTCTTGAAAGATACGCGCCTCGAGATCGACGCAAAGAAGGGGCGCGTCTGTCAAGCAGGAGCCCGCGCAGGGTCCCAACTCTTTCGGACGCAGAAATGTCAGGGAAAAAAGGTTTCTCTTCCACAGAAGGTGGTAGTCCTCATACAAGAGACTACGCGAGGTTCATTGAACAAGAATTACGGGTATTCAGTCGAGATCGGTCCGGTGAAGAAAAGTAATCGCCCGACAGGTTTGCCATTCGAGGGCACCTTTCAGAGTATAGCTACAAAGATGGAGATCGAAGACATCGAGGGTATGATTTCTTCGAAGAGGGTTTCAAGGGCAAAAACGACTAGCAAGACCACTACAAAGAAAAGCGTTGGAAAGAAGGTGGCTCCGAGGAAGAGAGCAGAATCTGTCGATTCCAATTCTGATTCACAGTCAGAATCGAACTGATTGCAGAAGCTCGAGGGGAGTGCATGTGCTTGTATAAGGGGTCTGAATGACACTTGAAACTGATGACGACAGCGATGGACGACCACGAGAACTTGGTGCCAGACCTTGGACACTTTGGACACCGTGAAGCCGAGACATGCCGAAGCTCTAATGACGTCAGCCCACGCGACACTCTTGTCGGAGGAGTGTTGGCGTAAGGCGAGCCTTGGCTTCTTCAAGCTGTGCGGGCGGCAGATCATGGAGTGTTGCAGCCTCTGTGGGCCTCATCCAGAGGTATGTCCTGCAACACTTTATGCCCACATCAGCAATCCGTGGAGGCACTTGGTGCTTCCACTTTCCATTAAAATTCCTAGACACCTTTTGGCCAGTGCTGATGTCATCGAGTGTAGGCCCATCTCGGCGTGTTCCAATGTCTAAGGTCTGGCACAAACTCTTCGCGGTCGCTCATTGCCGACATCATCAAAGGGTGGGCCCGTCTCGGCGTGTCCAAGTGTCCAAGCTCTGGCACCAAGTTTTTGCGGTCGCTCATTGCTGACGTCATCACAGCCCAAGCCAGTCTTGCCGCCGTGTCCAAGTGTCCAAGTGTCCAAGCTCTGGCACCAACTTTTTGCGGTCGCTTGTTGCTGACGTCATCAAAGCGTGGGCACCTAAGCTATTCGAAGTTCACCCTTTCAAGAGCACTGGATCATCTTCTTGTGAAGGTACTCCTATGCGACGGCATCGCGGGGCTTGCTTGCGCTGACGGCACGCGTCAGAAGGGTGGGCTTGCTGGAACAGATGCCGCCTTGCTTCGGCCATTTACGGCGCCTAGTCGAGGCTCTGACGGAGTCAACGTACAAAAAGTCATGGAGGCCGGAAGCAACTACCTGGCGGCGTCTCTTTCGAAAGGGGGCCTGAAAAAGCGTCTCCTGCATCAACCTGAGCTCCGGACGCTTCTAGCGAGGTTCAGCGGACACCATGCCGTTGACCCGGAGCTGGGGAAGCCGCCAAGTTCACAAGAATACGAGGAGCTCCTGGTAAGTTTCAATAGAGATCCAAGCATGCCTGTTCATAAGCACTGTGTCTGTCATTTTCGACACCGTGAGTCTGTCGGCCATTCTTCGATTCTTCACACCATGCAAGCAAACGGATAAGAAAGCAATCATCGTTTATGCCCTAACCTGACATGGCCTCTTTGTGCAGGTCGCGCTTGACAGAGACGACGTGCAGGTCGTCACGAAGTTTGTCACGGATCCAGATGATGCCGATGCCGACCCCGTTCTCTTGCACTGGCGCCGGTGGGTCGCTGGTGACCAAGTCGGCCAGATTCGATCAAAGAACAAGGCGGTGTGCGAGCTGCTGGAGGGCATCGAGAGAGAAGCGATGCAAGACGACCCTCAATGGCCTCCCCGCTGCCCCCACAAATGGGCGGAATTACTCTACACTCTAGGCGCACCATTCTCGGTCTCGGACGACTCCAATCTCATCCAGCATGGAAAGGCCCTGGGAGTCGTCCGCAAACTTCTGCTAGGGGAAGCCGCAAATGACGACGATAGGGTCATCCTGTCCGAGCATTCCCCAACCCTGCGCCGGCTGCTGGAACACTACGGTGACCGCTTTCCCCCGTTCTTCCATCCCGCGCTACATCACATATATCGTTTGACGTTGTTTGCGCGGGGAGCGATGGGCCTCGGGGTCGGACGGGCGGGGTGGCCGTTGTCGGCCATCGAAGGCCTCGATGTTTGCGTCTGGCTGGAGCGGGAGCCAAAACCCCTGAGCGTCGAGCAGCGGCAAGCCCTCGACTTCTGGGCGGCCCGGGCGAATGCTCTTCTCCCCGGGGTCGAAAGCCTTTCCCCTCCAGCGTCGCACGAATACGCCCTTCTTCCGCCGGAACGGATCCTGTTGAACGAGAGGCTCGGTCTCGAGGCGGACGGAGTGGAACCTGGCCCTTTTCTCCGAACCATCCCTACTGCCGTGAGCAGCGAGAGCTAGGCTGCTACCCGCTTTTAGGTTGGGAGCAGAAACGCCCCCTTCCGCAGTACGAGCCGTTCGAAGACGACCTCGGGAGGTCTCTCGAGCGCAACGAGGAGCATCGGTGTCGAAGCGGGCTCACCGTTGGGGAATGCAATGCCAAGATCGCTCTTGAAAGCGGTATTAAGAAGACAAAGTGTCTGCAACGGCACACAAAGGGCGGCTTTGTCTTCTTGTGCCCTCATTGTGTCATCTATGGATTCCATGTGATGCTTCGCGGAGAGTCGCCGCGAGACGCCTTCACCGTCTTGTACACCCGACTCAATCGGAGAGATCTTCCTTTGTACCTCGTCTACGACAACGCGTGCAAGCTGCGCGCCTACGTGATGCGAAGAGAGCCAGCGTTCTTTGCAGACGTCCGCTTTCTTGTGGACAGGTGAGGATGAGATGCGTGTGCAAGCCAAGTGGCACTCTTATTGGAGGCAGTTTCTGTGACCTTTGTGCCGCTTGCCATGCGAGCACCGCAAGGACTTTCAATTGTGCACTCTTCGTACCTTTTCGAATCTCAATTCATGCTTCATCCTTGCAGATTTCACTTCCACCACACAACTGCCGAGGCACACAAGTGTGGTCCATTGTACAACACAGGTGAGATCCACATATGTGCATTCGATTGGCTCGAAGGGCGTCCGTTTGGAGTGTGTTGCGGCAAGTTTCTTGCACAATGCCATGTCTCGAGGCCTCTCCGTGAATGAACCTATCAAAACTCTAGTTCAATCACGTGCAGACTACTACGACGCTGTGCGTTGGGTCAACACTTCAGCAGTGGAGTCGTGCAACGCCTTCCTCGTGAGGTTCAAGACGCAAGCGTGGTATAGGAGCCTTGTTGCGTTCATGATCATCTTTGCCAACCTAGTCAGCGGAAGAAATAGCGACCTGACACGGGTTGACGAACCAAAACTGCGCATTGCGGGCAGAGCAGACACGTGGAGACCTGCTGTACGGCAACGACTTTTGCTGTACTAAGGACATTATTGAAACAAAGACATTGATCGAAAATACACAATGACATGTAGTATTCATCATACACAGCATGCATTCAACAGAATTGATGTGCACAACCTATGGTCGTTGTCATTGAAAGACAAGTCCTTCCGGCATCCCCGAAGACGGTGCAAACATGGAGAGAGGATCGTGCATGGATTGGACCGCAGACCATAAGCCCAGAAGACCTGGAATCCGGATCTTTTCTATCATAAAAATTATGGCTAGAAGAATCTTGAAATCAAAATTTCTTGAAAAC